GGGGGGGGCGGGGCGCCGGGGCAGGCCCGTGGATGGCGGCGGCGGCGCCTAGCCGCGCTCGCAGATGACCTCGACCACGCTGGGTTCCATGGGCACCGGGTCCGGGCAGCGCAGGGCAGCCGAGGCCACCACTTCGTCCAGCAGCAAGTGCACGAGCTCCTCGTCGGCCACAAAACGCCACAGGTAGAGCTGCAGGAAGTGGCAGTCAACCTGCACCTGCTGCAGCCCGAAGCGCCCGAAGGTGCGCAGCCGCACGCACTCCAGCAGCGTCTTGAGGCTGATCTTGATGATGCCAGTCAGCACCGACACCTGCAGCAGGGATGCGGGACGCAGCTCAGTGACAGCAGGGCACCCACGTTCTGGGCAGGGGCCAGGAGACATAAGGTGCCAGTCGCTGGGACAGAGCAAGTCCCAGGGCCAGGCAAGAGGGAGGGATACGATGTTAGCACCATCACCTAGAGGGGAAGGGACAGGCAGGGCCCAGCAATCAGGGGCAGACGTAGGGGCCGGCCAGCATTCACATGGGGCAGGGGTGACACAGCAAAGTTAGAAGGAGAGCACCAGTTCCTTGAGCTCAGGCTGGGGTGGGGCAGAGAACTCCTGGGAAGACCCAGGACTACTGCGGGTATCAGGACAAGGGCAGAGGCATACTGGGTCAGTGCCCAGACCCAGGCAGGGGGCCGCGAGATGGCGTGGAGGGGGCTCTGGACTACCTAAAATCAGCCCTAGAGACAAGAGACAACGGGTCGTGGGGGATATCGGGGTCACCCCAGTTGGACACAGACAGGGTCCTAGGGCTCCGTGGGCTGGGCTAGGCCTACTCCGGCCACCCTTCGGGGTGCTCTGGAAGTCTGGGCCACTGCGGAGCTCAGACCTTGTTGAACTCCACGGGGCTGAACACGTCGATGCGCTCAGAGAACAGCTTCTGGATGTTGCTCAAGAGGTTGGTGTCCATCGGGGCACTGCGGAGGGGACACGAGGAGTCAACGTGCACCCTGCGCCCCCGTCTTCTTTTGTACGCTTTTCTGGGGCGCCTCTGACCTGACTGACCTGGGGGTGTAGCTGGGCGCGTAGCGGCCCTGCTGCCTAGAGCTGCTGTACACCGAGAAGGTCCTCTTGCTGGAGTCGCTGCTCTGGGCCTTGCGGACGCCCTCTTCGTACAGGAGCCCCACCTGGTGGCCAAAGGCGGGGCTGCACTGGGCGCCGGGGCCCCATCTTCGACGCCAGCCCTGCCCCGACGTCCTGGGCGCCTCCCTTCCCCACAGATGCGCCAGGGCAAGGAGGCCGTCATCCAGGGCGAGGAGGAAAAGAGCCTCGCATACAGGCACCGCCCGGCCTTCTGTCCCCCGCACCCCAGCCCCCCAGCCCGCATCGGGGTCCCCCGCTGGCCCAGGGCGGCACCTGCACGTCGATGGCAGTGGTGTCCTCCACCACCCGCTTCATGACGGCGCGCACGTTCCGGGGCTCCAGGGTGCTGAGCCAGTCGCGTGTCTCCACGCTCTTGCGCAGCATCTGGGATATGACCAGGCCCTGCACCTTCACGTAGTGGGTCAGCAGGCGCCGCGCGGTCTCCCTGGCTTCTGCACATAGTGTGCTCACGGGTGTCACTGGAGACTGGTCCTGAGCCAGGGAGGTGGAGGACGGAGGAGTGGGTACGGCACAGCTCAGGGGCCACTGCCAGCCAGGAGCCGGGCACAGGCTGGGCAGCGTGCAGGCTGGGGCCGGCAAGCAGCTGGCCTGGGCCAGGCCGCGAGGGCGCCATCCAGCCTCCCCTCGTTCCCTGCGCCCCCAGTCCTGCGCCTGGGATCCAGCGGCTCACCTGCACCAGAAACTGTTCGTCAGTGAGGGTGAGGATGTAGGAGATGGTGGCCGTCTCGTAGTCCAGGCAGAGGCGGGACAGCAGCAGGAGCAAGGCGGGGGGCGTGGCCCCCCCCTTCTCCCCAGGGCTGTCGCAGAAGCTCTGAGCCGTCTGACACATGGAGCGGATGAAGCCCACGATGAGGCCCTCACGGACGCCCTGGCTGCAGAACTCGCCCTGTGAGAAGGAGGGGCCCAGATACAGGCAGATTCCCTCTCCCAGGCGGGGGCGCCAGCCCCTCTCCAAGGAGCGCATCACCCCGCATTCCAAGAACCCCAGAGCTCCCCTGCTTGGCTGGGTAGAGCCACCCTCCTGTTCTCTCCTGTCACCCTCCCGTTCTCCGTCCGGCTACAGAAGCCCTCAGAGCCTTCCCCACCCTCCTAGCTCCACACCCAGAATGCCCTGGCGAGGACTGTGCAGGACCAGGTAACTTGGCCTCAGTTCCCCAAGTGCTGGTAAACGGGCACCAGAGGGCCAAACGGCAGAGGACAGGGGACCGCCCAAGGGGAGCACGCACCCGGAAGTAGGGCTTGTTGGAGAAGGACACCTCCTTGGCGGTGAAGAGGTGCACTGCGGCCAGGGAGGCCTTGATGTGGCTCAGGATGGAGCTGGCCACGTTGGCCAGTAACTCGGCCAGGCCAGGACCCTCCTTCCCGGCCAGGCGAGGGGCGGCCAGCGCCTGGCGCACGTCGGTCAGGCAGCCCAGGAAGGCAGCCTTCAGGCCCTGCAGGTGGTGGCCCAGGCGCTCGCGGGCCACGCGCTCCACGATCTCCGTGGCAGCCTCGGCCAGCCCG